TGGGCGGGTTTTGTAGCTCAGAGCAATCTATCTGGAAGCCTCCACACAACAATAAATGTCTCAATAGTGGACAAAATACCACGTAGAAGGCCAAAAAAAAAAAGAAAAGATAGATACATCGAATCAACAAAGATGAAATAGCAGGAAAACACACAGAGGTGGAGAAGGATGGATAAGGCGAACAAGTAATCTCTTTTTTATGTTTTTTATTTGTTTCTGTGTTTGCATCGTACCAATATCAAAACACCTGGTCGAAGTTGGCGCAGTAATTTATGTATATAACAATTGTTTTATATATTATTTAGATTATGTTTATTCAGATATATATATATCTTTTAAAAGTTTATTGAAAGGTTATCAGTGTATAAGTATAGTTCAAATGGAATGTGAATATACCCTGGTTATCTTATTAAAACCATTTAATCTTTTTACTAAAAAAGCTGTCGAAGGTATTGTCAAGAGATCTCTTTACGACTAGGCTTAATTTGATCTTGACTATAATTGTCAGTGTTTTTTTTTTCCTTAACAGTTTTGTATAAACATGAAATTGTACAAGAATTATAGTTATTACAATTCTATATAAAATTTCTTACTCTGCATTAACGTACACAGTCAATTCGAGAGTGCCTCGTGGCTCAATGCTCATCGCAAAACAAATCATTGAACATTGTTTTTAAAGAGATTGATTCACATTTTAGAAGGTCAAAAGCGAAATGATCATCCTTGACTTCATTTAAACATAATTTATTTATCCATCTCCTCAGCAAACAATCTTCCGAATTTGAGTAAAATAATGTTTATTTTTTCAGACCTGTCAGTCGCTTTGATGTTATCCTACAGATAATTATATATCACCCACATTGTTTATGTGTACATATATGTGAACTCGCGTATCTGAATCTATGATATGTCCACCAGTGGATTTTCTTTATTGTAATCTTAGATGTAGATAACAATGTTATTTAATTTATTCCTAATGGCAGACAATGGTCGTTAAATTGTACATTGTAGTTATTCTAAGGGGAGATAGTCCCAGAATAAAATATGTTTTTCTTCTTCTTCTTCATTACAGATATGTTCGCATTCAGGCTTTAAGCATAGTATTGTAAACAGAAATCAGAGTCGATTTCAATTTGGACAGTGAGAAGAATAATTATTGGAGTGAATTTGCAAAACAAATTTATGAAATGGGCATTTGGTAGTAGTTTATCCCAATAAAATTTTAATTTTAGCATCATTTATATTCGTGAATTTTCGCTATTTTCAATCTGTACGATGTAAACCTACGATAACTTTTATTTTATGATTATCGTGACGTTCATGACTTGAAAAGGTCATGAAATATTTCAATTAATATTAAAAAGCTACATATTACATATTTAAATTAATATTAAATAGTTCTCTCATAGATTTAAGCAAAAAAAAAAAAAAAAAAAGAAGAAACTACAGTAATTAATCCTTAATTTGAAAACCAGACAAGCAATCACAGAGTATAATATTTGATTTAATAACACCGTGGAATTCATGAAAGATAGATAAATTGTTATATTTTTGTTTTTTAAAAATCATATTACGGTGTGAATGTGTTCATTTATCAATATAATTATTGTCCCTGTGACAGAATATTATATGTCTAAATAAATAAATAAAACATTAAAAAAATTAAAATTAAAAAATCATATTATTTGACCATATAGTTTAAATGTTAAAATTAACATCAACCATGTTTGCTAATTTAGCTACTACTAAAAAATCTACAAGTTGTATGCTGAATAACAATATAAATTGTCAATATGTTCGATAATATTTTCCATATATATTTTTTTGGCATAACAAATTGATTTTATTTATCTATTAGGTAATATAATATTCTGTCACTTGGACAATAATTACAGTAAGGAAAGACTACACAGAAAAGATAAAATAAAAAGAAGAAAAATACGAACTAAATAATAATAAAAAAGTATATACAATAAATAGTAATAAAATAATTTAAAGATAACTAAAATAAAAAAAACAAACACAGATATATTATCTATAATAAAAAGTAGTCATACTAATCCTGACTGATTTGTTAAAATCTTAAAATAAATTAAAGGAAAAAAAAAATTCAATTTCAGTTAATTTTGTAGAAGGATTTGTTAGATTTATCTCTTATTGATTAGACTTTATATTAATGGTTGACTTAACCTTCGTCATACATAATACATAAACCTTCTTGCAGTCAGTTATATATATACAGCCTCAACTAACAAAAAGGGATTACTTCCAATTATAAAATTTTTCAAAAAACTTTTGAAAAGTTTATCATTGATAGAATACCTTTTTACGATTTCGAACAATCTCAGTGCACTATGTATGTAAATATTTTACTAATATGTGAAGTCAGATATGTTATCTCTCTTATAATAAATAAAAAAGGAATAAATATCCATTGAAGGAATTCAATTTTTGTTCAGTCTTAAAGAAACATCTTCTGTCATTCAGAACTATACTAATCTAAGCAGAAATATAAGATTGTGAACGAGGTTAAAAATTAACGCTAATTCTAACACTTAAAATTGTAGAATATGATTTATTACAACTATAAAGTTTCAAGTTTAACCGAGAATCGAAGTCGTGACGTTCTTGTTGACATGTTGATCTTTAAAATACATAAACACTATCAACCAAACGATCACTGATAAGACGCAATTTTTTATAATCTTCGAGCAATAATTAATTTGAATTTATGAATGTATACATTTATTTGTAAATTATGTATTTATATACCAAAATTAAAAATATTAAATATCATATGTATAAACAAATGGTTTGCTTTTTTGGTCTTAATAGAAGGTAATCCATATACGAAAAATAATCACGAATTCAATATTCGCTTGGTTTTTCTAGAACATAACCCTCGTTAATGTTCAGGATTTGATGCATTAATTATAGTGAAGGAAAAATGCACTTTATAAGTTATAAAAATATGATAGAAGTGGGCGAAATATACAACAGGATACTGAAAATTAAATGTTTGAACTCAATCTAACATCATATAACCGAACTGTACTATAAATACAATCTCCCTTTTCATATGCTCATTACCTACTCCATTTCAGAGCCATCATAGTTTTAACAATTAGTTATATTCATTATAGAAATAGGCAAAGATAAGCAGAGATTGAGTATGCTTGTTAAGACGGTAAAAGATCTACAAGGTCTGTAGTGCCATTAGAAAAAAAAATTTAATTGTTGCATTTGAAAAAAATCGAACGAGCCGTTTTATGTATAGGCGAATAAATAAAATTGAATGCATCTATCAGCGATTTAAAAAAAAAATATAATGCTATATATTTCAAGTTTAACCGAGAATCGAAGTCGTGACGTTCTTCTTGACATGTTGATTTTTAAAGTACATAAACGACCATCCAAACAAACGCTGATAAGACGTAATTTTTTATAATCTTCGAGCAATAATTAATTTGAATTTACAAATGTATACATTCATTTGTAAATTATGCATTTATTTATGTTTTCCTCTTTCGTTTGCCCAAGACTCCCATTGGAGTTCTATACTGCAATTATGTATCAAAAGAAACAAAGAAAATAATCACGAATTCGATATTCGCGTGATTTTTCTGCAACATAACCCTCATTAATTTTAAGGGATTTTACACATATAGTGAAGGAAAAACGCACTTCTATGCGAAATAAGAAGTGGACGAAATATACAACAGAAAATTGAAAATTAAATTTTTAAACACAATCTAAAATCATATAACCAAACTGTAGTATAAATACAATCTTTTTTTCCATATGCTCATTGCCCACTACATTTCAGACCCATCATATTTTTAATAATTCATTAGAAATTGTTCAAGATAGGCAGAGGTGGTGTAGGCTCATTAAGACGACAAAAGATCTACAAGGTCTGTAGTGACAATAGAAAAAAAAGTTACATTAATTTTAATTGTTACATTTAGGAAAAATCGGACGAGCAGTTTTTGAGATAGAGGTAAATCAAGTCAAATACGTTTGCACATATGTAAGAGGAAGCATTTCGCATAATCTGCATGGATTTCAGAAAAACCGGATTAATAGTATTAAGTGATATGCTCCTCCCATGGATTTGACTAACGATAAGATTCCATATTTGTTTCTTGGTGTCCAAAACGTAAAACCCGAGATATTCTGGTTACCTTATGCACCATCGTCCTTGGGGAAGGATGATAGACTCATAATTCTGACCATTAAAATTTTTACCTCACAAAGGCTATAATTTTTTTTTTTTTTTTACTTTACAGATCTTGTCGATCTTTTGCAGCCTTTTTTTTTTTATTGGATAACTTCCTACCCACTATTTCTGGCATAGGTGATGTACAACCAAAAATATTCTAACCAGACTGGGAGGGTCGAGTTTCATACGGTGGGTCCTCCAGGAAATAAAAGTCAACTACTCCTAGGCCGGATTCGAACCAGCGTCGCTAGCGCTAGATAAGAGGATGCTAAAACGGGCTACGCTCCAACATACTTAACCATCCTTATCTATTCCGTACCAGTTATGTAAATGCAGCTCTATAGCATTTTTGTTTATTTGACCTACCCATCTACTTTCTGGCTTCCTACGTGGTCGTTTGGTTGGCTACTGTTGAGGCATTCAATGTTTTGTAAAGGATTCCTGATCGCTCCGAGCTTCATGTTCTACCCATCTGAACCTCCATGCCTGAATATTGATTAACCATTTATTTCTGTAAACAGTTCTTTATTGGTCTTTCTCGTCCATAGGCGCTTCGTTCTTTGGTTAATTTCAGACTGTTGGTCATTCCATGAGGTAATTGTGGAGTATTTGTCTACTCTCGAGAACGATTACCCTTCTACGCAAATCGTGTTGGGGTGGAGTTTTCGGTTTCTAAAGGTATAATTAATGAAGTTAATTATATTAAGTATTCATACTTAATATTAGAACTGGGATTAAAATGCAAAAATAAAAATAATTTATTGCTGGGATTTCACATATTACATCTAAGATCTCTTAAAAAAATCCTAATCACTTAATTTTATTAACTATCTATGAAATAACAATTAATTCATATCTAAAATGTTGTGATTGTTAGAAGAGGCCCAGAGATAAGAACAGCTTTATAAGACATTGGCTCTAACACCTTTGGCACTTTCAGGTTCAACATGAAGGCATTTCTAGCTCTCTTCCTTTTTGTAGCCGTTTCATCGGCTGCTGAACTTTACGGTAAGCTCGTCAGTTTATATACATTTTTTATTTTATTATTCATTTATAGATATTAACAACTATTTTGGTTTATTATTATCAATAATCAACCATTGTGATCGACCAAAAAATTCAAAAACTTAACCTCCTCTCAAAATTTGAGGTTTCACGTTTCAGGATGCGTATATTCCAAAAACGAAAATTTTTTTTTTGAATATTTAATAGTTGACCGTTGCATTATAAAGGAAGGAGATGGTCCGGGATTGCGGTCATAAAAAGGCTAAATAGTGGTAAAACTATATTATTGAAAAGTGTGTTCCTCTAGGAGTTTCACTTAGAACTGAGTTTCACTGTTGTAAGTGAAACTCCTAGAGGAATACACCTCCCTGATGAAGACCTGCAAAGTCGGGTCGAAACGTTGGCTTTCAATAAAATAGTTTTACCACTATTTAAAAATTTTTTTGTCCGTCCGCCTTCCGCGCATTTCCTCTGAAACTACTGGACCGATTTTTTCAAATTTGGATATAAAATCAGATATCACCCGAGGATGAGCCTCCTTCATCGACATTACTATCCGCCTTTTAATTTCAAAATGGCGGCCGAAAAATCTACGTTGCTATAGACTGTAGCTCCTGAACGAATAGTAATAGTACCGAGCAATAGTAAATAGTACCGATTTCAATGAAACTTCGCAAAAGTCATTTTCTTGACGCCCTTTAAATTTTTCAATATAACATTCTTCAACGAAAAGAAGCTGGAAAAAAAGTTACGAGGGATGGTCAAATTTAATTCCGAATAACTCAAAAAGTATACACTTCTTTGTCAATATTGTATATGGTTTTTTAAAAGTTTACAGAATTTCCTAAAAAAAAAGTCGTTAAAATCGGACAATTAGAAGCAAAGATATGGTCTCCAGTTTTTTTTATATGTTCTACTCCAAATGTTATATCCTTTGTTTGATTTTTAAATTTTGAATGTGTTACTGAAGTATTATTTTTTTTTTTTTTTTTAGCATATTACTAATGATTAAAAAAAAAGTTTATTTTAGTCCAGTAACTGGAATCACCTCTTATTTATTTTTCTTTGTAACTAGGAAGGTAATGTTACTTTAGATGTATAGTTGTTTAGAAATAATAAACCATTGTGAAATAATTTGCAGCGTTTTTTTGGTTTCAAGATTTTAATCAAAATCCAATTTTGATTTACAACTATATGAATAAAATACAATGAGTAAATCCATTATAAAACATGACAGTAGCTTCGGAAAACACTACCCATTAGTAGCACTTCCATTATTACTTTAATTTAGGAGGTCCCTTGGCCATCTTCTTTTTAAATGTCTTAGAGGATTGTCTGGAATAGTTTTGAATAAAAGATTGTGACCTAGAGGGTTTGGGTGATCCTGGGATATAGTAATTCATCATAACTGCAGCAAATAGAATATTGAGGTCTTTATGGATGATTTTATTTGTAAACATTAAGGATTCTTTGTAAGGTTTTGGATTATAGGAATTGGGCATGTGAAGTATTCGATGGTTTTGTGGACGACAGAAGCTCAATTACCAAATGTTCCTCTTAATAATATTTGTGTATATAGAGAGCGTTTGTCAAGAAGTACTGTAGCAATCGAAATCTACGAACAGTTTCTTTTCGCTTTAGTTTCGTATGAGGATTCTAAACAAGGTTCTTGTCAAAATAGAGTCATTGGAAATGCTGGCCTTAGACATTAGGCACCCCTGGAAAATAACATCATCTTTTCCAAAATTAAATTTATTTCTTAAACGTTTTATATTAAGTTGAATTCGAATTTTACTTCATTCAATATTCCTCTAATTCTGCAGTTTTATAAATAGAATAAAATTAATTATTCTTAATATTTTTTTTTATAATTTAAAGAATACCGTAGAAAAGGATTTTGTAGTTTTAGAACGAAGGGTAAATGTGATAGGAAGAGATTTATTTATATTCTAGACGTTTAACACCATCTTCTATGGTTGTGATGAGAAGCTAAAAGAATTGAAGGGCTGCAGTTGGATCAATATTGACAGATAACACACATGAGTCAAAATAGATATATTTGTTTAAAAATAACTTTTTTAATTTGAAATAATTTTTTATTTATTAAAATTGGTCCTCAATAATAATTTTGCTCTTGGTCCCAACTTGTCTATTAATGCCACTGCTTATATCATCTGCTCTTCTGCACAAACATAACAGTACTTAAAAAGTAAAATATAGCTTAATATAATATTCAGCTACCGTTAAACTTTTTATATATATATATATATATTATACCATGAAACTAATAATGAAGGTGATTATTAATTAAATAAACTATTATTTCAACACATTATTTAAAATACTACTGCACAGTATTTAATTTAATATAATAAGTATGAGATTAATAGAAAGTTATCAATTTTTTTTTTAGAGGTGAGACTTCTAGGTAATCACCTTGAAGATCTTGTCACTGAGACCCTCGAATATGTAAGGTTCTTGATGAAAAAACATAACCCCTATGTCTTACCAAGCATGCCAGATCAACACCTTCAAGACACAGACGTTGAGTAAGTTGCCATTGACTTATATATTGATAGATTACTATCGATCTATCTAAAGCATTTAGATTAAACTAAAATAAAATATTCAATTTCAGCTTAGTACTGTCAGCCAGTAACATGGGAGTGTCTGAAGCCTCTGATTTCACAATCGATAGCATCAAAGTGAACCCTCTTACCTTGAAAGCTAGCTTCCAGGTGACCATCCCCAAAGGCCACGTTGCAGGTAACTACAAGATCTCTGGAACTGGATGGAACAAGAAAGTTGAAGGATCCGGTTCAATCACGTAAGTACACTTTTATAATATAAATATTACAGTTATAAATATTAAATATAGCCAACTATACCAGTGATTGAAATATAATTTTTTTTTTTATTCAAAAGAAAGTTACTCAACCGAATTAGACGAAATATTTATCCATTGTTATATGAGTCATTACAAAAAACAACTAAGATGTGCGCTTTAGACCACATGATAAAAGTGAAGACATCAACAATGCGAAATTAATAATATGAAATATAAATTATAAATTATAGCTCATTGTAAAAATTATGAAATGCTCAACATTTCCTTCGTTTACAGTGTGCAGGTTCGATTTTTAGTTTCTGTGACATTTAAATCCATGTCTCCAATAAAACTCTTTATCATATGGTTTACGACACCATTTCTCCCTTTTCACCTCTCTAACACGGCGTCGCATTAAGATAAAATTTTGAATAATAGTTCATTAAAAAGGAGATGAAATGCTAAACAATTCCCTCGCTGACAGTATACAGGTCGATTTTTAGTTTCTGAGATATTTTAATCCATATGCAGAAACACTTCAATTCGACTCCAACCGACTTTACCAGAACGTTACACATCGAAGATCTGACAGATCAATCTAATTCGCTATCCACAAAAAGAGGGCATTACGCGTCTAATTATCACTTCAAAAATGTACAATCTGTACAATCTGTACTATTTAAAAATTCATAGCTCTTTTAACTTTGTTAGCAGTTTAGAATGACTCCAAACATGATGAAAAATAATCATTTTTGTGTCCTACATGTAATTGTAATAAGAAGTAAATCTCATGAACGCCATGACAGATTTTAAAATAAAAAAAACATTTTTTTTATTGTTTTCAACAGGAAAATCCTGAAACGACTAAAACGAAACTTATCCATTATTTTATGGATCATTGAAAAGAAAAACCTTAAATCTTTGTTATATATTAGTTACCAGCTTAAAATGAATATAAAATAATATGATACAATATAATTGAAAAAAAAAAAAAATTTAAAACCCATATCTCTCTAAAAGAGAATGTTTGACATCTAGGAAAACGCCGTATATTATTTAATACTCTCTAATTACATTATACGAACAGGTTTTGCTCATTTGGTCACTAGCATTTTTTTTAAATATAAATAAAAGAAGCTATGTCCGTCAATACATAGGTGGATATGGATAGCCTCTTGAACCTCAAGCTTCACAATACTCATTCATTTTTAAATGGTGAAAAGTATTTCTGTTATAATCTGAAACGTCAAGTGTTTATCACTAGTTGGTGCTGGACTTCTAAAGTATAAGTATTTTATTTATCTTAAAGGGTGGTAAAATTTACATTTTCGAATAACTCAAGAAGTATACAATTTTTTTCAACGTTGTATGTAGTTATTTAAAAGTTTAGAATTTTACTAGAAAACAAAAACAAAAAAAAAAAATCGTTGAAATTGGGCAAGTTATAGCAAAGATATGGTGTTCTAAAAATGTTTTATACTTTCTACTGCAATGCTTATATGTTTTGTTTTGGTTTTTGATTTCTTGAAAGTTTTACATCAACTGTAGAAATTTTGTCTATTTTTAAAGCAAATTATCAATGATAAAAAAGAAAATTATAAAGGCCAATGTTAGGAATACCTTTTTATTTATTTTCCTTAATGTATGTACCATGAAAAGTAATCTTAATTTTGATGTTAAATTTTTAGGAAATAATAAATCATTCTGTAATAATTTGCTGCGTTTTTTATGGTGGTTTACTAAAGCGTAAAAGTAATAAGATCGAGACTAGGCTTTATTTATTCTTTTCTATATTAACATGAAATAATTATATTTCGACAGTGGAGATCTTACAAGCTTCGTCCAGTCTGGAAATCTACAACTTGGAGTAGTTGACCACTCTATCCAAGTCAAAGAACTGAACCTTGACTACAGCATCGGAGACTTGAAGGTAAAAAAAAAAAGTTTTTTAAATTAAGCTTTATTATCGTATTACATATATAATGAACGATATAATATGGATTAGCGAACCCGGTGGTTCGATGCCGATACTAACAATCGCAATCTGCATTCTTCCATCCGTTGGTCTCCGTCTAAACCAAACTTTGTCAAATCAGCTACAAAGCGATTGTCACACCATCTCTTCGCTCTACCTCTCGTACGCTTGCCAGCTTTTACAGCGACTATTAACTTTTTAAGGAATCTTTTGTTTCTAAGCCTAGAAATCTTAGATATCTATTTTATTCGCTGTAACGTATTGAACTTAATTATTTTTGCGGGCAGGACCCATTGGGCTAATGCGTGTGCAAAGTTGCCAGGAAACCTAATAAACCGAAGATTATATGATAAATAATTACGATACTTACTAGACAAACGACTCATATATATGACAATAATAAAACCTATTTGGACTTACGGAATTGAGCTTTGGGGCTCCACCAAACCATCGAATTCCTCTCGTATCTAATCCTTACAATCCAAAATCCTTCGTAAGATCCTCAACGCTCCTTACTTTGTCACAAATAAAATCATCCATAAAGACCTTAATGTTCCATATTTTTCCGATTTGTACCCAATCCAGATACCTATCCTTCCATCCAAACCCTCTCATTTCAAACCTTGCTTCCTCCTCGATCCCTGATAACCCTCCGAGGCTTCTGAAAAGAAGATGGCCTCGTGATCTGCTTATGTAAATATATTATTAGAGTGTTACCAATGGGTAGTTTCTCAACAACAGTTTTCATGTGATTGCATTATTACTGTGTGCACATTTACTAGTTATATTTTTTTTATAATACAGTTGTAAATATAAAAAAAATAAATAAATCTTAAGACGTTGCTTATATCTTGATATAAACGGCCACGTTTCGCATCCATTAAGAACTTTAGAAAGAATAATGGTTTCGTAATTCCTTTCATATTTTAAATACCATAATTACGGATCTTTACCAGCTTTCATCAACGCTGTTGTATTTAGTTTTATAGCTTCCGTGTCTTCGCTTAACAGTATCAAATTATCAGCATATCCAAGCACGGATATTGTTCCATCTAGAACTAAACATTTTTTTATATTTATTTGAAATTCAAGTGAATAAAACAACGAAAAACAAAAGCTGTTGTACTCTCGTTAGCGACATCTTTTTTTTTGGAAAACACTGGAAGGTATTTTTCATATTGATACCTTATTTATATTGACATATACTAACATTAATTCCTCGATGCACGCAGTTGACCGTGGACGGACTCAGCATCGAAGGGATGACCAAGGAGCAAGTGAACGACCTCCTCAACTCGAAGCTGCTCGACCACCTGAAGAACAACAAGGCCTTCGTGGTCGAACACACCTCCGCCCACGTCATGAAGGTCGCCAACAAGATCCTCCACGGGCACACCTTGGCCGAGGTCATCGCTTTCGTCGAGAAGCTGGTCGCCTCCACCCCGGACCCCCCACCATTCACCTTCGCCCCCTAGATTCGGCATAATCAATGTCTGATTTAAAAAAATAAATAGATTTATTTATAATAACTCTGTTCAATTAATTCATCCAAGATTAGTGTGAAGAATATAGTTGTATATATTATCTATAATGAGCGAACTCATGCGCCAAGAAATTGATACTTACATTTAATTTTTTCCTTAAACTTAAAGTTATTTAAAAAATATATACGTATATTAAAAGATGATATTGTAATCTAAATTATTAGGAAAAAAAAATCGTTGACAACTATTAGCGAAAGCTTTTATTGAAAAAAAAAATGGCTGATATTCAACAAAAAGGTAACAGGCGCAAATAAATATACATAGTTAAAAAAAATATTTCTATTGACTGATTTAATATATACTAGTAAATTCGCACAGCATATTGTTATCAAATGCCAAATTAATAAGAAAATGAAATAATGCAACGTATCAAAAGATAAAGACATCAAATGTTATTTTATGGATAAATATAATCGACAAAGGAAACAAAAATTAATTTAAATCTCCATGTTTGTTTGGAACCAGCATGTTTACAAATTTCAGTAAGCTGTATCTTTGCAAAAAATTGTCCGAATTCTCTGATTTTTTTCCTTTTTTAGGGAATTTAGTAATCTTTTGTATAATCATGGGTATAACCGAAGAAAAAGTGTACAATTTTTTAGTTATTAGCAAAAAAAAGTTTGTTTTCTTTTATAACTTGTTTGCCTGAATTTTCGGAGTGATTGGACTATTTTGTCCGCCTGAAGGAAAAGGAAGCCTTCGAAATTGGTAGCTCAATCTTGGTGAAAAATTAACGATGATATGGCTTGCTATAAACACTATAAACTATAATATAAACTCCCCCTCTTTCGATCATAGAGACCTCAAGTCGACGAAATGAGACATGTATTCAATGACAGTACTACAATTAATGTAAGGTTGTGTGGATGCGAACCCTATACCTTGCGTGATCTGTATACTTCCGGAGGAACTATCCGGGTCCTGCTCTACACATCAAAATCTTCAAGATCCAATTTGTCCCATATCGATCTACAAGACCTACCACGGTTCTAGTATTGAAGCCTAGCAAAATGTTTGTATCGACTTTATTTATTTTAGTAAGAAAAACAAAAGTGGAGAATACGATTCGCTAATCCCCCGAGAAATTCTGAATCCAACGGTACCCCATCCATGGTATTTGAGCATGCCAGGAGCTTATATTTTGTACGAAACCAATTTCGAGTCTTACTGTACAATATATGTGGGGTGGGATGGGATGGGATATATTTTTTTTTTGCATGAACTTACATATTTTCAACACAGATGACGCTCTTAATTATTTTTATTTTCATTTACCTATATAGATAGATAGATAGAAAATAACTTTATTCTGAGACACAGTCCCTAGAGAATAACAAAATTAAAAGAATACATCTGACCAAAAAAAAAATCAATCGAAAAAAAGAAATAATGTAAAGAAAACATAAGATAAACATTCTATATACAAAACAAACGAAACTATATACAAAACAATTAACACTATGACAAGACGCTTAAAACTA